TTCCTGTTATCCCTGATCTCTCCAAGATCTTTATCATGAAGGGATGTTGGATTTTCTCAAAGACTTTTTCAGTATCTAGTAAGATGATAATGTAGTTTTCCTTTTTCCATTTGTTTATATGGTGGATTACATTGATGGATTTTCATATGTTGAACCATCCCTGAACCCCTGGGATGAAGCCTACTTGGCCATGGTGGATGATTTTTCTGATGTCTTCTTGGATTCGATTTACCATTATTTTGTTGATTATTTTCACAGCAACTCTTATAAAGGAAAACGTTTAATTGTGGGTGGCTTACAGTTCAGAGTTTTAGTCCATTGTCATCATGTCAGAAAGCAAGGCAGCATGCAAGTATACATGGTGCTGGAGAAGGAGCTGAGAGTTCTTTTATTTGATTCACAGGCAGCAGGAAGTTGTCTGACAGTGGGCCATGGCTTGAGCATATATGAGACCTCAAACCCCATCTCCATAGTGATACATTTCCTCCAACGATACCATGCCTATTCCAACAAGGCCACGCCTCCTAATAATTCCACTCCCTTTGGGGGCCATTTTCCTTCAAACCATCACATCTGGTGTCTGGGAAATCCAAGGTCAGTGCACCAGAAGCAAGAGACTTTGGTAGGCAGTCGGCAACTTGGTTATAGAGAGCTTCATCCTCACTGCACCATCACTTGACCAAGAGACAGAAACATCATTGTCCTCATGTTTCTTTTTGTAACAGCCCTCACTAAGGTCTCTTTGGAGAAACAAAACCAATATTTAAGTACCTTTGAGATTTTCTATTAAATAACTAAAGCCATTTTGTTCGAATGGACTGGAGACTCTTAGGCAGGAAAGTTAGAGAGAGATTCTATAGAATTTGTGGAGTCCCCAAATGGACCAAGCTAAAAGCTGAAGAGCTTTAAACCGAATAGTATATAATTCAGTCTGATTCCAAAGGCATGTGAACCAGGGTTATGGTGGTATAAATCTCATTACAAGGGTAAAGGATAATAATATGTATTGTCCCATTTTACTGTGGTTTAGAAATGAAGTATCCCACTGAAAAGTTCATTATTGAAGGCTTGGTCCTAACTGGTGATGTTATATGTTGGAGTCCCTGCAGGCATCATGCCTGTCAGCAAACAATTCATGAATGGGCAACAATAAAAATTCAGTTCAGCCTGACTTAGTTAGGCTGGATCAAACTTCAGGAGTCTGATGTCAGGTGGTTTATCAACAGCATATTTAAACACAGTACAATTTGAAAAAAGTTCCTTGGTGTAACACAATCCCTTGTACACAAGGAGGCTGTGGTGATTTGAATGAAAACAGCTCCATAGGCCCATAGGGACTGGCACTATTGGGATGTATGGCCTTGTTGAAGTAGGTGTGACTTTGTTGCAGGAAGTGCATCACTAGGAGGTGGGCTTTGAGGTTTCAAAGCTCAAACCAGGCCTAGTGGCTCACAGTCTCTTCATGCTGCCAGCAGAACTGGATGTAGAACTCTCAGCTCCCTTCTCCAATATGATGTCTGCCTGTTGCGGCCATGCTTCCCAACATGATGATAATGGACTAAACCTCTGAAACTCTAAGCCAGTTCCAATTAAATGCATTCTTTTATAAGAGTTACCATGGTCATGGTGTCTCTTCATAGCAATAGAAACCCTAAGAGAGAGGCATAATTATATTGAAATTCAAACCACAAGTTGTTTCTTCTAAGAAGATGGGTTCTAGCTTAGGGAGGGACCTGGGAAAGAATCTGGCACAGTCTCAGTTATACAGATAGCACAGAGGTCATTTGGGCTATTAACCAAATGGTCTTGGTTGTGGGAACTTGGGGGAGACCCATAGCTATACAGATATTATAAGGGTTACTAGAACTGCTAGACACCTCCAGTACTGGCTATAGGAGCTTGATGTGTACTGGTCCTACAGATAACGAAGATCACCAGGCTGTTAGTCACTGACAATTCCTAGCCTTCTATCATATGTTCTTTCATTTTAAAGGACAATACTGTATGTATAACATTCCTGGTTTCCCTGGTGATCTGTGGGCACAAGGACCTTTGTGCTCCCAAACCCAAGGCCCCAAAGAGAGCTCAAAGTTCCTGGGGACTGCAAAAGAAAAGAAAAGCAGGTGTCTCTGGCCTCAGACACAGTTTCAAGAGAGGACAGACCTTGCAATTTGTCTAGGGAAAACAGCCAATGAGCTCATTCTGCCCTCAATGAAACCCCCCACCCCAGTTACAAAAGCCCAGCTTGAAGTGTGTAATCTGCATTCTCTGGAACTCTGGCCATTGTGTTTCTGGTTCCCATATCCCAATCAATGTGCAAACATAGCTAGAGATATCACCTGTAGGTAAAATAGAGCTGTGTCAGCTGTTAACATCGTCTAAACTCTCCTTCTTTATGTATCCCTACACACTTAATTCTTACATATAAATTCTTTCATAAACTACATTCCTGTGTCTCTCACTGCAGATACTAATTTCACTGGCATTGCACAGACACAATTAGAAACAAAGTTTCATCTGGATGTCCATTGATCCACCAAATTGACACTCAAAATGAACTATTATAAGTACTAAGTCTGTTCATGAGGACTGCTTCTGTGTACCCTCTCAAAGATACAAGATACAAAAGAAAACATGGCATGGCCTGGAGCCAGCCTCTCTATCTATTCCTGAGAGCTTAGACTGTAATTCCTCCTCTGAGACACCTCATGGCTGTTAATGTTCAATTTTCTGTTATTTGAAGTTCGCAAAAGCAGACTGATAGCCCAAGGAATTTTCTCACTTCACTACTTTACTCAGTAGTTAGATTACTAAACATAGTTGACCCAGATACAACATGGTCTTCCTCCCCAAGCTGCTTTCTGAAGAGGTTACACAGGGTAGAGGTTGTCCTATCATGTTCTGAACAGTTTTGAAAAGCCCTGGTCATGAGGTACTTTTCACTTAAGCTATGTAAAAAGGTGTTTTTTCTGGGGACATTTTTGTTCCTCTTGCACCCTACCTTTCCTGACTCCCACCCAAAATTCCAAATAAAAACAGAAAAAAATTAGGAAGTAAAGCAATGGTTTCTAAATGAAATTCACTGATTTTTATGACAGAGAAAAATGCAACCAAAGGAGTTGGGGATGTAGAAATGAAAGAAGACACGCACACTGTGCTTTTAGTGGTACACTTAAATTTATGCCTCTTGTCAGCTAAATGATTTAATATAAAAATGTAATGGTAAAATCAAATTATTTCAAAAACTAACACTTACAGTTAACAGAATTTATTTTAATTTCTAAATTCAGGAACTCTATCCTTGAAATAAATCCAAAGCTGAAGATCAGTCGTATCTTTCAACTTGTGGTATTACTGATGATATCTGTGCTATGAAACATGTTGGCTGAGGAGAAAGACGGTGTAATAAGATTACCTTTTTACTGCCATATACTTAAGAAATATATATCTTAAGAAATAACTACTACCAAGGTCAGCTATTTGCTGTCATATTTGATGGTATAGAGTGTGTGCAGTGATTTAATTTCATCTAAATTAAATTTATAATGTAGTTGCCAGCTTTCCATTGCTGTGGCAAGATCTCTGTGACAAGGTAGAACTAATGTGGCAAGAACACATGGGGCCGGGGAAGCTTCTAATCTTGTGACAATCAGAAAATGAGGAGCAATAGTGGGAGCCGAGCATCTTCTCAAATGACACACTCAGTAACATGATTCCCCTCAGTTACTGCTTATCTAAAAGTTCTACCACCTACATAAAGGCCCCAAAGGCTAGTTAGCAAGCCTTCAACATACAGCCCTTGAGGGATATTGAAGCCCTACAAATAACATGTTACAGAATTAATTTTCTTTGGGCATCTAAAATGGTGTCATTTGCCTGGTAAAGTGTGCCCGAATGACAAGTATCCAGCACAGCCTTTTGGCATTGTCTGGAAGGAATCTCCCCAGGGAATGCTTCCTTATGGATGTCATCATTTCCTGTGATTAACGAGGGAATGAAGAAAGAGGACTGTTGCTAGTCCTAGCCCAGTCACTGTTGGGAGTGACTAGCCCAGCTGGAGTGACTAGAACCAGGTGAAGTCAGTATTTAGAAGAATTAACAAAATCATCCATATTAATTTTTTAGAAGACACACAACATTTAGTGTTTTTGTCACAAACCTTATAAAAAGAAGTCCATATTCACCCATTGTAATCCTGTCAAAAGTTAAATTCATATGGATGCATTTTCATATAAAAGATCACTGTTGAAAAGAGAATTCTTACTGCAAATTATACTTTTCTCTTTTGGTGTGGTGTGTGTGTGTGTGTGTGTGATATGAGTCTGTATATATGTGTGTCAGTATATATGAAGTGAGTGAATGTGGATACCATGACACATATGTAGCTGTCTGAATACAACCTTCAGTGTTGGTCTTCACCTTCCACCTGACAATAGGGTTTCTTTGATGGCCACAGTGATGCATGTACATAGAATTGGCCAGGCTGAGAGCTTCCAGAAATTCTCCTACCTATGCTCCCAATCTCACAGTGTGAACACTGAGATTAAAGATATGTGCTACTGTCCTGATTTATGTCTGCTTCTCCTTGGGAATATCTCACAGAAAGGTATTTCTGAATTACTCAGCTTTTTCTGTGTCACATGAGAAAGTGGTATAGCCCAGTAATGAGATTTCTGTATTAACTTCTTTTTGTTGCTCCATTTTTAATGAATTTCCAGATACAGCAAGACTAGGAGTCTAGAGACTATCCAGGTGGCAAATTAAAACAAATATTTTTATATATGATTCTGACTATAATAGCATGTATTGAAATAAACTTGTTGTTCAAAGCACTTTCAAAGATAAAAATAAAATAGTTACATTTGAGCACTTTTAGCAAAATTGGAACCATAAACAGTACAAATCCGTTGTGTGTATTGAATGCAGGTCAAAAGTAAAATAAAAGCAAGGTTCAGTACAAAGAAAAGGTTTATGTAAGAGAGAACGGCTGACCATCCAGTTCACATCTCTTCTGATTCTTGTTCTTGCCCAGTAGCTTTTAGGAGTGGAACTTGTGTGAAGCTGCACTTCCTAAGTCTCCATTTAACCAACCTGGATGGGGAGGATAGGAGAATAATCTTTGTTATATGAAGCCTAAAATAAAACCTGGGAGAATAGACAGCTAACACCCCAGCTTATTTCTGTGCCTAGAGTTGGCCATTCAGAAAAGCACATTGTATTTACTCGGTGTCAGAGAGTCCTGAAAATTTATGTGGATTAAAGCAAAGTATAAGAAAACAGGTAACTATGGCTTTAAAATGGATTGCATGCTTAAACTAGGCACAAGAACATTTTGATTGTTTATAAAACAAGTAAGAGAGTCTGTGGACTGAGCAAGGTGGGATGAAACTGAGATTAGTGGAGTTTCAGCATCAGTACCACACCCACCCATGAGTCGGACCAAGATTTCACTTCGTTTGAAGGAAATACACGAATCCAAGACTCTTTGCAGGGGTGGTAGCCTAAGTTGAGCCCCAAGGCAATTCTGAGTCAACTTCTTTCTTTCTTTCTTTCTTTCTTTCTTTCTTTCTTTCTTGCTTCCTTTCTTCCTTCCTTCCTTCCTTTCTTTTTTCTCCCTCTCTCTTTCTCCCTTCCTTTCTTTCTCTCTCTCTTTCTTTCTTTTCATTGATTCTTTGTGGGTTTCACATCATGCATCCTGATCCCACTCACCCCCCCATCCCCCCTACTCTCTGCCCTTGCAACCTCCCAGCCCCAACCAAAATTTAAAAGTAACGCCTCCCCCCAAAAGCCATAGCCAAACTTAGCAAACAAAATTCCCAGCATGAAAGCTGAGCGAGGTTCAGTGAGTCACACAGTATACCCTTTAGTCCATACATCGTTACTTGTAATCTTTCATTGCGATGAGTCATTGGTCTAGTTTGAAGCCTCTAGCTTCTGCTACACCCTCGATACTAGGCCCTCACTGGGAATCCTCGTGGATATCCTGTTGTTGCCTTTTGTCATGAAGATCTCATAGCGTTAGATCTGTAGGTCCAGCCCTGTCACATGCTCCAGCAGTTCATAGATGAGGTGGATATTGGGGTGAGCTACCTTGTAGTCCTGGTTCTGGGCCTGGATGGTATCTGGGTTGGTCAGCCTGCCAGCTTTCCCTGGTGTGCTCCCCAGCACCGCCCTGGCTTGTTCACCCAATGGAGCAGACAGCAAAAGGTGGGTCCTGTGCTCCTGCTCTCACACCCTCCAAATTCACACCTCTAGGGTCACCTCTACCATTTGCCCCAGGTGAGGTGTAGGGGCTTCTCTCCAGATTGCCACACTTGGCGAGGGGCAGGACCAGATCTTTCGTTCTCATGCCTTCGAGGTTGGCTCTTCCACCTGTTGCAGGCAGCAAAGTATGGGGGGAAGTGCATATTTCCCTTACCTTTGTCATCCCATGCCATACAAGAAAGGGGCAGGGGCAGTCTGGGCTGATTTTTAACCACTCCTTGCCTTGTCAGAAGTTTGTTTTTACGCAGGGCACGGAGCACTCAAAATCAGGTGATTGCCCTTTTCCATAGTGAGTTAGGAAGTTTAGAGAACTATTTTCTCCCCTGAGACTATTTTCACTTCAAGAGAAACTCAGAAGGAAGTGGTGATGATAGTTTTTGACACTGGAAGATGGGAAGCTACTTAGTGGCCCAAGCTCAGCAGATTTTTGGATTCTCTGATGAGAAAAGGTATTAAGACATATGCAAACCTATTCACGTGTGTGGTTTCCAGAAGGAAACTGTGACTTTGACCACATGAATAAGATGTGGTTCCCAGAAATGCACAAGACTATGGAAAGACATTTGGTACGCCAAATCCTCCAGGTTATTCTTTTAAGATAAAGTTCATCAGGACACCCACACAGAAACTTTACTTCCTGCCTGCCTTCTGATGGAGCTCTGCCCAGCCCTGTCAATGCTCCGTGCTTTTCCTCCAGCTCTAAGTCCCACCAAACATCAACAGAGCAGAAACTTGATCCTATCTGCTACCCGAACCCTAGCCAGTCTGAAGTAACATTTTGGACACTTTGACAGTAAGGTCACATTACTCATCTGCAAATAGAAAAGGATTCTTCAGCCTCTGCCAAATCATTCTAACGTCACCAGTAAACGATGACTGATTAGTTTCTAAAACATCTTTTTACTTAAGAGCTGAAGACAAACCACTTAAAATGATTGACCTTGATTACTGACTACTAATATTGTCCCCACTGTCCTCCTCAACCCTTCAAGCCACTTCTGCATGAAAGGCTAGTACTCTGTGACAAGTGAAAGCCTGAGAACTTCCTTTTGTCATTTCTCAAAGCCACACATCATTTTCTCATTGCACAAGTTCAACATGTATGAAATGTAAAGGGTTGGCTGGTTGATCGACTAGCTTTGTTAGTGAGATTTGTTGTAGAGAATTAAAGTTCATGTGATTGTTTATATCATATTAATTATTTAAATTTTTATTTATGTATATGTGTGTGTAGACTACATGTACGAGGCTACCCTGAAGGCCAGAAGAAGGCATCAAATATCAGAGAACAGGAGTAATGGGTGGTTGGGAGCCAGAAGACTTAGTTGCTGGGAACTAGGCTGGAGTCTTCTGGGAGAACAGTAAGTGCTCTTTAACACCTAGCCATTTCTCTAGCCTATGAATTAATTATTTCATAGCCCCTGGTGACTTTGTCTTCCTTTTCTCTGGTTTATGTATGCCCTTATCACAAGCCACTAAACTCCACAGATACATGAGAAAGACAAGAGCTGACCTATCAGCTGTCATATGTCTGATATTTAGATAATCTCTACTTTGCTTATTAAAGTGGCTCATATGAATTATCACTTGGAAAACCTGGTTTGAATTGGCTAGTGTTTCATCTTATTTCCACAGAGGAGATCTTGTGAAAAAGTTCTTTGGAACACAAGATATTAAATGTAAGATATACCAAGTGCATAACAATATTTCTGAGCAGATAGCTCCCAGATATAAGCCATCGTAATTGAGATTGCAGATGTGAGACAGGATGAGGCTGTCTTTGAACGATCACTTTAGGAAACTGACAGATAGCCTAAATCTCTTTTAGAGATTCTGGGTGGTGGTTATTCCATGTTATTTAGGCTGCATGACAAACAGTATGCTGTGCCAAACCAATCACGTAATACTTCACCCACCACATGTGAATGAGATACAAATGCATGGTGAAACCCTTACTACCAGATTTTTACAACTCCTTACCCTGAATTTCAGGACTGAATTGGTTAGCCATTTAATCATATAAAGATAGTACTGAATCTTGATATTATCTTTACAATATCAATAAAAAAGCCAAACTAGATAGCATATAAGACTTTCAAAATAAACAAAGGCTGCATGATACATTTAATTTTTATCTGGAACACAGATAATCAAACAAGCAATGACAGATTCACTGATGCATGTTTGGCAGTGTGCCCTTATGACAGCTCAAAATAACTGGGAGGACTAACACAAATGAACTAATAATAGTCAGCACTACTGTTGTTAAAACATCTGGTAGATGAATAGGTTAGAGGAATCAGAGGCTCTTTGAAAACAAGAGATAGCCACTTAATGTGAGTATGCCAGGTATCAAGAAATGCCCTATTGGAAAGTCTAGAATGAAATGTATTAGGGATTAGGGAGAGACTGGAAAGTAAAGTGTAGTTTCTAAACATAGTAAATAGAGATTCGACCTTATTAGATACTTATATTTACTGAAATTAATGTGGTATTTGCCATATTTAAAGTGCTCAAGGGCTAGTGATTACTAAGTGGAACACTCTAGATAGAAATATCGCAAATACAGAACCCTGTAATCAGAGCTTTGCTCTGACAGACCATAGAATGGGGTCTTCTTGCCTGGTGATTTGAATCAGGAAATCCACTGAGCTGTGGCAGTAAGAAGATGGCACCTTTCATGTGTTTTCTTTCAATATTGTTGGGACTTGATGATCATGTACCAAAGAATGAAATATCCATGAACAAAAATCGCTAACTCACCAAGTAATAACAGCATAATTCACTCCAATGATGATATAGGCAAATATACAATGCAAACAGAAGTATATGGTAATAAGCATATTGTTGTGATGATCTGTCAGATCCCATTCAAAACCTCCAGTTGGGTTATACAGAACAAAACCCATCTGTAAGTTAAAAATAACAAAATAAAAACCCCAAAATTCAAATATAGAAACATATTGCTAACAATGCCACATTTTTAAATGTTTGGTGATTAAGATAGCTTTCATTATCTGAGATGTCTGATAAATACTATGTTTTGATCTAATTTAGTAACAGACAATATCTACTCAATCATAGTTTTAAAACAGATTTTAAGGAAATTTAATGATCAATTTTCAAAATATGAATACTAAGCATCCTTTGTTATGGGAAGATAGTCAGAAAGTTCACATATACAGATTCATTCTATTATTTCAAAATCAGACCACACAAGATTGTGATAGACTCTGGCCAGAGAAGCAGGTAATGAAACACTGAGGATGCTTTCCTTAAAAGGTAATAAATTAATTTAGCATATCCACCAGTACAAATTCAACACCAAAGTCATATATAATCTTTACACACAAGCAACAAATAATCCCTAATTGAAATTAAATGAGTAACACTAAAAAATACAATCTAATACCTATTGAAATACAAATGTTCTTCATTCAAGATATTAAAAAATACTGATCCTGAAATTCATATAAATTGCAAACAATTCGGAATAACAACAAAACTTTAAAAAGAAAAGTTACATAGCTCACAATTTAAAAATTACTACAACTGCACAGTAATTAGAATGTTGGTGGTGTTGTAATGGTAGACATAACAGAAACAAGAAAATAAAATCTGTATTTCATAAATAAACACACAGATATATATTCATATATATCTTTACATTATGCAAAAGGTATTTAATGGATTTTTCAAAATTAGTTAATAGTCTCTTCATTAAATGATGCTGGGACAATCATAGAGTCGCACGGAAAGACTGAAATTTACTTTGGGCCCTGTAGTCTTTACTTTCCTCATTGCTATGACAAATACTGACAAAAGCAACTTAAAGTGAAGAGGGATTTATTTTGGTTCATGATTTCATGGAGTTTGGTCCACAGTCACACAGCTCCATGTGCTGTGCAGAACATGGTGGGCAGGAGAATACGGTGGAGAAGGGTGCCATCCAGGAATGAAACAGAGAAAAGGAGAGAAGTGGGACAAGATATTACCAAGACCCTGCCCCTAGAGACCTATTTCCTCAAACTAGATGCTATTTTCTAAAGTTTCCAGAGTTTCTCCCAAACAGCACTGCCAGATGGAGACCAAACATTCAGAGTGTGAACTTGTGAGGGATATTTCACAATCGAGTCTTGTTGTTTATATTTGAGATTGCGTTTTTAATTAGAACGCTTCTCTTTTCCCATTCCTACCTCCAAATCCTACCATATAGTCCTACCCACTCTCCTTCAAATTCATGGTCTCTTTTTTTCCTTGATAGTTACTGCATGCATATAGGTTTTCGTATCTACCTATATGACCCCAAATATAATCTGCTAAACTCATACAATGTTACTTTTTTATATGTTTTCATGGCTGAGCATTTACTACACAGGTACCTGAAGACCCGCAACTATCTATCTCATAGTAGAAAATGCATCTATATCATCCCTAAACATCTCCAAATATTTAATAGCATCAATAATGTTTGAAAGTCAAAATTCAAAGTCTTTTCTGAAACTGAAGGCAGACAATTAGTTGAGAGCAACTTAAAAGTCAAAAGCAAAACTACATATTTCCAAGATAGAAGAGCACAAATTAAGCCACCAGGTACGATTGAGCATTGAAAACATGAGCCTGTCATAAACATCTCCTGTTGAAACTATAAGATACTCTTAGCTCCTTATTACATGCAAAGTTTTCCAAAAATCCTAATATTCTCTACAACCATAAAACACAAGAAAACAGACTTTTAGATCTATGACCTGAAATTTGGTGACAGTCTCAAAATAAGATTTTTTTTAACAAAGGTGATTGAGCTCCAAATGTGAACACATTTCAATCTAGACTGTCTTAGCTAGGGTTTCTACTGCTGTGATAAAAATACCATGACCAAAGGCAACTTAGGGAGTAAAGGGTTTATTTTAGCTTACATGTCTATATCACAGGCTGTCATTGAGGGATGTTAGGGTAGGAACTCAAACAAGGCAGGAACCTGTAGGCAGAAGCTGATGCAGAGGTCATGACTGCTTACTAACTTGATCCCCCTGGCTTGCTCAGCCTGCTTTCGTATAACACCCAGGACCACCTGCTCAGGGATGGCATGGCTTATAGTGAGCTACTCCCTTCAACATCAATTATATAGTTGCTTCACAACAAATATTTCTTGCCTCCCACTAATTTCCAAACTTGCTGGTCATTGGGTAGCAAAATGTTTAAGTATCACAAATGGCTATTCAGGTATGTGTACTATCTGCCTTTTCAGCAGTTAAGCATTTAAAAATATAATTTCTCAGAGGTCCATATTGGTATTGCATAGAACACATCAGAGAGAAGGTCTTGAATTATATAACAATATGCTCTGTCAAAATGAGAGAAGCTACAGGTGCAGGCAGGCACATGGACATCACCTCCTAGTCCCAACTCACCTGCCATAACCAAGTCCCTTGCAGTATGATGAGACTTGCCCGTATTAGTTCCAGAGTTATATTATTCTTTATGAGGATCTCCATGAAGGAAACCAGGCCTGATAAAAAGGTGGCAAGAACCAGTAACTTATGCAAAAAAACATCCATTGTGAATCGGCCATGAGTGTGGTTGTACATGATGAAAGCTAGTAGAGGGAGGAAAACAATTTGTCATTTTCAATGGAACCAAAAGCCATTCACAGCTTCTCTCACTTTTCCTCTGTCCACGGCATTTATGAACAAATACACAATTGGCCATAGGAACAAGTCCCAACTGACATCCATAGTTTTGCAAGTTGTCATTGCTGTTTCTTCAAAATTAAGTGTTGGAATGATAACCTTCCTTTCCCCTCCTCTAAGATGTATTTTTGCCTTAAACACATCATGGCATCTTCAAGTTACTGTAAGACACAGACTTCTCTGTGCAAAATGATAAATAAAAAGCCTAATGAGGTTGGGAATTACAAATTATACAATTATACGATAAATGAGGCAAAGCCTCACATCAGGACATTAGTCAACTGGGAGATGTAAACACATACATAAATCATAACTATGGACAAGGCAATATTATCTGGAAGTCCCCAAGAAGTTGTAAATATGTGAATTGTTTCATTCTATGAATAGATTCCAAATTTATTGAAATATTTTCCTTTAAAGTGGTAAAATACATTCACGGAATGTATAATGCAACAGGATCACACTGTTGGTTGTTGGGACTCATCTTTTATCTGGTTCTCATTCTCAAAGAGTAGCAGGAAGTTCTTTCAACAGATGAGAAAGGCAAGAGGAAGAGATAGGAAGTGACTGTCTTCTGATTATTTGAGGATTTCATGATTCCATAATGAATGTGCTTCATATATGTACAATAAATGAAGGAACATCATAAAATATTTGCTTTCTTTACCCTACAATAAGATGAGAAACTAATGAACAAAATGTGTACTTTATCATTGATCAAAATTTGTACCTCATCCTTTACGATCTATCTTTAATGAAATATATGTGTGTCGAGGTAGGTGTGTACAAATGAGTGCATGTACCTGTAGAGTCTAGAAGAGAAGTTACTGGCAGTTGCCTGTTACCTGGGTTGGTCCTGGGAATCAAACTCTGCTTCTCTGCAAGAGCAGCAAATGCTCTGAACTTCTGACCTATTTCTATAGCCTCAAGAACCTCATTTTTTAATAAGGCTGGATATTTGAGTTGTTACTTATTACATACTAGCAGAGTTTTGTCCCATGATTATTTTTAAAGAGCTAGTAGATGATAGGAAATATCCTGTGTTAATAGATGAGTTTTTAAGGTAAAAGGTGAAACATAAATGAAATACATTGGATGGTTTTGCTGGCCTAAGTGTACTAAATAAGTTAGTAAGGAAGGAAAATCTTTGACATTCTGACACCCAAATATCTCACAATGGCCCAGATAGAAATGGTCTCATCAATCAAGGCTATGCCATGACACCAAACGTACCCTATAAAAAGCTACATTGATATCTAACAGTTGGGAAAAGACCAGAGAAAAATACTGATACTTACCCTGTCCAAAGAAGGCATTTGACAGTGCCAGCTTGGTTAAGGAGGCTGGAAATGAATTAATGGTAGCACCTAAGATTTTAGTCACACCCAGAATCCCATAGAAGATATATATAACTGTGTGGTGCAAGCGCAGGATCCACATCAGCTGGCTGCCTGAGACAGAATATATTTGTAGGCTGATAGCGCCTGTAAGAGAACACATCACAGTATAAGTAACCTTCCTCTTAAGTTTCTAGTACATAGGAGGATATGCTAGTGAATGTTTACATTTGTTGCCCTCTTATGAAATCAATTCTTTATTACTAATCATTTTGGTTCAAGTACCCATTATAATTTAGTGAAATCTCAAAAGATTTGGTTGTTTAGATTTAAGAAATCAACCTGAAAGTAGCCAATTCTTTTATATCTAGATATTACATCATTAACATAAAGCCATTGTTCTCAATAAAATACTTCTATAAGTTTCAGCTTTCCACAATTAATAAATATAACCTGAAGTTAGTTATATAATCTAATAAATATAACCTAAATAACCCTAACCCTGAGATAACTGGTCAGACCTGATGGACACAACTGGTAGACTAGTCTGTTCCAAAAACTGTTTACTGTTGTTAAGGATATTACCGTATCTGTTGCTCTATAGAAACTGACAGAGAAATGCCTCTCTGTGGGAAAAGACTAGTCTATAATTTGAAAGCCATAGCAAAAACCTATTGTCATTAATAGAGCATGAAAAATCCTAATGGGAAAATAGAATATTTTGTCTTTTATAATGGGGAAGCTGCAGAACTTCAAAAAGCATGTTTCTAGGGAATTCTCAAAGGTAGTGGAAAGGCCTTCCAAATGGTCTAGTCTAAACCACTGCTCAAATTCAGAAAATAAAGGAAGGAATGAGTGCATGAAACAAGGTCCTCCTTGGCTCCGATTCCTCTTCCAAACTTCTCAACACTGATGTGCTACTGAAACTTCCTACAGTCAGAGGGACTTCCAATAGAGCCAGGCTTCTTTCCAGGGATCAGTGCAATTGATACGAGATTATTTCACTCATTCCATCTAATTTTGTAAAGGAAAATCTCCAATATGAGGTGGGTAAATTAAATTCTATGATTAATTTATTAAGTAATGATCTTTGAGTAAATAACAGCAATCACCTTCCTAATAAGACTTCAGATTAAAATTATATTTAGAATATATATGGGGAGTATTTTGCAAACAAATTTAGCTTTAGTACTTTATTTTCTATTAAATCTTCATACATATGGAAATACACACACACACACACACAGAGAGAGAGAGAGAGAGAGAGAGAGAGAGAGAGAGAGAATTCTGAAGTTAAAAGCACTCACCAAATAAAACCATGCCAGTTAGTATAATTCCATCCAATAGTTCTGCTCGACGGATCCACACTTTGGAATGAAGGTAAGTCTGTTTTTGTTTTTTGCAGACATACTTCAGAATATTCACTGAATTCCACCAAAGACTCAAAAAAATCAAGAAAGATCCTGGAAGGGCATGACCTTGGAAATCCCCTGGGACCTGCAAAGTAAGAATATACAGGAGATAGGCACAACATTTCTGGAATCTCCCATCTTCATACAGCAGACTGTCTTCTTGTGGCCATGGATACACAGTAGATCTCACAATAACAGCAGTAATGCCTATAAGGATTAAAATCTCCAGCCATTAAACACCATATATTAGGTACCATGTCAAGTGTTTCACATGACTAATTTTTGCAACATAAGCATGGGTGAAGAAAGATTACTATTTTTGAATTGAGGCTCAGATATAGAGAACTTAAATGAATTATCAATCAAAACAATGAAGAATTTCCCTGTAGTTCTCTGTCTGGGGTAGGATCCTATGAGATTTTGCCCATACTCCTTCACTCCATCAGCATCTCTCTTTGTAATTGTAATTGTTCAGGTCTTGTTATGCTTCCCTTTAGAAGAGAGGCAGTCACACAGCAAACACCCTGTTAGTCTTGTTCTCTTCACCCTCTTCTGCCAAGTTTCCTAAGCCATAGTTGCAAGAGTTGTGTTGGAGATGTATACTCTGGAGGTAGGCACTTCACAATCTGTTGACCTTTTTGCTTGTATCCAACTGTGGTTTTATGAAACTGTCTTCAATTTGCTGTAAAGAGAAGCTTCTTTGATGAGGGGTAGTATTTACAGTTATCTGTGGTTCTAAGGACAATTCAGAAAATGTTAAGGATGATAATCTAGCAAAATGGCAGTAGTAGATTGTATTCTAAGATCTATAACCTTCTGTGTTTCTAGTACCAGGTACAGTTTCTGTTCTGTTGCGTGGGCTTCAAATCCACTTAGATAGCTGTTGCTTACCACCAACACATGAGTGCCAATATGACACCTTTCTGGATATCTTGCCATGCTGGTCATTGTTTGTGGTTCATAGGTGTTACATCTGGGTAGGACTATTAATTAATTCCCTCCTTTGGCAACTTGCAAAGTACTTTCTGACACAATGGAAACTAGACTGCAGGAAGACTTTCAGGTTAGATACAGCTTGAATCAACCAAGTCCTCTGTCCTAAGTGTGTGTTGTCTTCAGTAATAGATCTTAAATCTCCAAAAGGCATCCAAGGGCAACAGCAATAGCCTATATTGTTCTCATGATTGGTTCTGGTGTGTGTGTGTGTGTGTGTTTGTGTGTGTGTGTGTGTGTGTGTATGTGCGCATTGCATACAGATACCCTTACATGTATTGTATAATTTTAGGTAAATATAAAGTATGATTCCTTGAGACTTTATCATTTTGGTGTTATTTGTCCACTCTCCCTCTGTTTTTTGTACTGGCTTCCCTTCTCCTCCCTAGTCTGGGCGTCAGGCTGTTTCTCCATTTACTGCCTGCTACCTCCCTCTCAACAGCCCCCAAACATGGTCCCTTTACCCTTTTCTGACTTGTGTAGTTACTCCATGTTATGTACTCACATCAGGAAATGTGGAGCTAAGAAGTGCCGATGAGAGAACATTCAATGGCTATCTTTCTGGGTCTGGGTTACCTTACTCGATATTATCTAAGTATACTCGTTATTCTGCAAATTTCATGATTTTGTTTTGCTTTTTTACAGCTGAATACTATACCATAATGGATATATAAACCATATTTTTATAATTCATCTGTTAAAGGACATCTAAGTTGTTTCCATTTCCTAGCTAAGGTCAGCTATGAACACTGTTGAGCAAGTATATGTGGGTTAGATGCCTTTGTTTTTTGTTTGTGATGCTCCATAGTGATTTCCAGACTGGCTGCTCCGTTTTCATTCCCACCAACAGAGATGAGGGTTGCTTTCCCCACGACTTCACCAGCATTTGTTGCCAGTTGTTTCATTGGTCTTAGACTTTCCGACTTAGATAGGAAATCGCATTGTCATTTTAATTCGTATGTCCCCAGTTGCTAAGGATGATAAAAAAAATTATTTCTTCTATTTGTTTAGAACCCAAGCCCATTTTTAATTGGGTAATTTATTTATTTGGCCCTTTGTTGTTTCTTTTTAGTTTTTCTTTGTATGTTCTATATCTGAATCCTCAGTCAGATGTCAGCTGGCAAAGATTCTGTCCCATTTCTGTGAGTTTCATTTTCACTCAACTGATTGTTTCCCATGCCTTAATTCACGAGCAAGTGAAGTCCTATTAGGAAAGTCCTTTTCTTCTCGCCTACATTTTCTCCTAGCATTTTTAGCATTTCATGTTTCAAATTAAGGTATCTGATCTGCCTAGAAATAAATATTGTACAGGGTGATAGATACGCAGTTTTCACAGAACCATTTGATGAAGCTGCTATATTTTCTCCAGTGTATGTTTTGGTCAAATATCAGGTTACTAAAACTTATGTTCTTATGTTTGGGTCTTCTACTTTATTCCACTGGTATATATGTCTGTTTCGTGCCAGTACAATGTTGTTTTCATTATTATAGTTCTTTAATATATCTTGGAGTCTGGAATGTCAATCTCTCCAGTAGTATTATTCTTTTTTCCTTGGGATTGCTATGTCTGTTTCATATGAATTCCGGGATGGTTTTTCTGTTTCTATGAAAAATGCTGTGGATGTTTGGATTGGGATTGCAATAAATCTGTAAATTGATTTTAGTAAAATGATCATTTTCACCATATTAATTCTATCAATGCATGAACATGGGATGTCTTGAATTTTCTATAATCCTAGCTCTAATCATTTAGCAATCTCTCCAGCCTGATTTTTCTGTTTCTATTTTTTGAACTATTTAAGAAGCATTGGCTTTAGCTCTTCCTTGAACATCTGGTAAGAATTCTGCTGTCAATCCATCTGGTCCTGAGTTTATTTTAGTAGGAAGGCTTTTTATTACTGTTTCAACCTCCTCCCTTGTTATGGGTCTATTTGTGATCTTGGTTTAACTTTAGTAGTTTGAATAGCTCAAGAAATTAATCCAATGTATCACAGTACAGGACTTCAAAGTATTCCATTGTAATATTCTGAATTTTGAATTCTATTATGTGTTACATTACACTGTTCATTTCTGATTCTGTTATTTTGAGTCCTCTATTTTTAGTTTAGTTAATTGAGCAGAGTCTGTCAGACTTTTTTATCTTCTCAAGGAACCAGCTATTAGATTCATTGATTCTATGTACTGTTTTCTTTGTTTTTATTTCAACATTTCTGTTTTATTTTTGTTATTTCTTCCTATCCACTGATTTGGATTTGGTTTATTCTTGATTTTTCAAATTCTTGAGCTGAGTCAAGAATTCATTATTTATTTGTGCTCTTTGTGATTTTTTAAAAAAATGTAGGCATTTATGGGTATAAACTTCCCTCTTATAACTGTTTTTAATAAGTCATAAAGGTTTTGTGTTGTATTTTCATTTTCACTTAGTTCCAACAATATTTTCTTTGTGATTTCATCTTTAAACCATTCACCAGTCAATGGTGAGCTGTTTAATCATCATGGGTTTATAGACTTACTAGAGTTTTGTTTGCTGTTTATATCAAGCTTTATTATGTAATGGTCCAATTGGATACCTAAGACTAAATCAATTTTTCTGTATTTCTTTAAAGTTTGCTTTGTGTCCTAGCATGTTATCTATTTTAGAGAAGTTTTCATGGGGTGCTGAGTAGAATATATATTCTTTGCTACTTTGTGTGGAATATTCTGTAGATATCTGGTAGGTCTCTTTGGCTTAAGGTGTCATTT